TGCCACCCTTCTCTCCACTCTCCCCAACAATTACTTAAAGTATTAGTTCCATTCCTCCATACCAATATCCTCATTTATTCCCTTCCATCTTTTCCTTTCCTTGTTCACTATCCTCCATATCCTGTCCCTCCGTTCTTGCTCCCTCTGCCTCCTTCTCTCACCTTCTATTTTTTTCCTTTTTCTTTTCCTCATAACTCCTTATATTCCCTTTTTTCTCTTTTATACTCCCGCTTCTCTCCTTCACCTCTTCTCCAGCTCCTCAACGCTCTCCTGACTAACCTTTCTTCTCCACGCACTCCTCATCCCACCACCCTTTCCATTTCGTCATTCCCTTTTTTTTCTTTTCCTCCATCTTTCCACATGCCTTTCTGAATCTTTCCCCCACTTTCCTCATCTCTTCCTATAGCTTCCCCTTCATTTCCCCCCCCCCCTTCCAACTCTGCTCTAAGTAACTCTTTTCCCTCCTCGTCCCATGAGCCCCTGAATCCCCTTCTTCCTTTTTTCCTGACCCCTCTTCCCCGTCCTATCCTTCCTTTCAATCCCACCACTACCGGATGATGGTCCGAGTCCACTTGACCCCCTATCTCTCTATTTCTTTCTCTCATCTCTTCATTTACTAAGACGTAGTCTATTACCAACTCTTCTTTGCCTCCCGTATAAGTCCAGTTCCCTATCTCGTCTCTCTCCACATTCCTATTCAGTATTGCCCATCCCCTCTCCCTAATGCATTCTACCAACCTTATACCTTCCCTGTTCGTCTTCCTGTTCTTAGACTTTCTCTCCCTCTCTACTTCCTCCTCCCTCTCCAAGTCCATTCTCTTTTCCATATTTCCCGTCCTAGCGTTAAAATCTCCTCCTATTATTGTCTCTACCCCTTCTTCCTTACCCTTCATCCACTCCTTTAACTCTTCTAGTTTCTGCTCCATATCCCCGTTTACATATACTCCCACAATCCTTACTCTTCCCCCATCATATTCAAAACTTCCTGTCACTAATCCTTCTACCTCTGCTTCTCTCTTTTCTAACTTTATCTCCTTCCTTATCGCTACAATCATACCCCCCATCGCCCTTCCCTTCTTGTTTCTTCTCTTTGGCATCTGTATTTTCCAAACATATCCTTCCCTCCATCCACTCCTTCAGCTCTTTTAGTTTCTGCTCCATATCCCCGTTTACATATACTCCCACAATCCTTACTTTTCCCCCATCATATTTAAAACTTCCTGTCATTAATCCTTCTATCTCTGCTTCTCTCTGTTCTAACTTTACCACTATCTTCTTTCTTATTCCTACAATCATACCCCCCATCGCCCTTCCCTTCTTGTTCCTTCTCTTTGTCATCTGTATTTTCCAAACATATCCTTTCGGCATTTTTTTCCTAATCCGTTCCCATCTTTTTTCCTCTAACCATGTTTCCGTGAGCAACAACACTTCCCATTCCTTCAAATTTTCTGAAAATTCCTTATTTTTGTTCTCTAACCCCGCCACATTCTAAAACGCAATACTTATCCCTTTTTTCTTCCTTTCTCTTTCCCTCTCCTTCTTCCTCCTTTCTCCCTCCTTTCATCTTCAGCTCTTCTTCTCCCCATGTCTTCTTCTCCCTGTTCTAGCATCTCAACTTCTTGTTTCCCCTCCTCTCTCTTCCTCCTTCCTTATCCCCTTTAATTTCTCCCAAATTTTCTTTCCGGCCTCCCTCAGTACCTTCTCCTCCTCATCCCACCCATCCCACCTCCATCACACTCTCTCAATTCAAATACCCCCCTGCTCCACCCTCACCATCCTTCCCTGCAGCTTCTCCCTCCATGCCACTCTCCTGATAATCCACTTTACTCTCCTTTCCTCTCACGTCAAATCTTCGTCGACCCATACATCCTTCCCTTTTAATTTTTCTTTGTTCCCTAAAACCTCTGTTTTCATATTCTTACTCTCCATACGCGCTACCATCATGCTTCCTTTCTCCCTGCTACCCATCCCTATTCTTCTCACTTCCTCCAACCTCCCCTCTATTCCTAACTCTTTTACTAACTCCACCACCACCCTTTTCTTTAGTTCCCCTTATTCTTCCCTTATCCTTTTTACCACTATATTCCTCCTCCTTTTCTCTCTCTCCTTTCTCTCCCACCTCCTCTCCAACTCTTTAACCCTTCCCTTCCACTCATCTACCTCCTTATTCTCCCTCCTAACATTTCCGTTCAGCTTCTCTCCTGTGCTCCCCCTATCCCATTTCTTCCCTAACCTCAACTCATTCACCTCTTTCTCCAATCTTTCCATCCTCTCTCTTAACTCCCTCCTTTCTCTTTCCATATCTCTTCTCTCACTTTCCACAATTCTTTCATTCTCTCTAGTTCCGTACTCAATTCCTTCTTCTGTTCTACCGTAGCCTTCCTTATCTTCTGTCACCACCGAAAAACCCTCTCTCATTTGCCGTCTCACTTCCTCCTTTAACTCTCCCTATAGCTCCTTCATTTCCTCCCTAACATCCATCTCTTTTCCCTTCTCCACCGGTGACCTTATTATCCTGTTATTCCTTTTGAAAGTCTCCTTCCCCCCTCCCTCTCCCGTTTCTTCCCCTAACAGCTCTCTCTTCCTCTTCAACTGTTCCACTATACTGTCTTTTGCACTGTCTCTTCTCCCTCTGACTAACTTTGCCTTCTCACCACTCATGCCCTACTCTCCCACTCTTTTGTCCCTCTCCAGTCTCTCTCTTATATGCCCTGTTCCTATGCCTTTCCCGCCACTTTGCATTCCCCTCTTACCTACTCTGCTCTATGGCCTATGCCCACCCGACGCTGACGCTACGCCGCCACGCGGCTCTCGGCCCCACGTGCTTCCCTCACCCTAACCTTTATCTACCTCGACTCTTCCCACTCTCCTCCTTCTCCAATCCCTACCGCTCTTAACTCTCTTCACTACTATGCCCTTCCCTGTCCTTTTTCTCCCTAATTTCACACTCACTCTCTCTTTCACACCTCACTTTCACTTCAACTGTCACTCTAAGTCCGTTCCTCAACACGCAACGACCACTCTCCACGCTACCGGAAATAAAAGTCAAGAAATGATATGTATAAATGATGATATACCAATCGAATATAAAAGAAGAATTGTAGAATATTGGAAATCTGATGATACGTTTAGACCAAAGTCGCTTAAAATCGTAAAACGTAGGTTCAACATCTGATGTTGCTTTTCGAAACTTATGTTTTACGGTTTCAAGCGACTTTGGTCTAGACGTTCTTCTTCAATTTCAAATTGTTTCTCGTACATTTCTTGCAGCATGTTTTCTATTTTGTCTTTTACTTTTATTTCTGGTTTTGTAATGGGAGTTTCGGGCACATTTAAAAATGTTGTAGTAAATAACACAATTATCATGTTTCTCGGATTGAACATTTTGCCTCTAAAAAATTATAAATAATAAATTGTAGTCATATAAACATCTTTAAAAATAAAAATAGTAAATATATTAAATATATAGTTACGCTTTATTGTATGCATACTTTATTAACATTATAGTGTTTATTATGTTAAAGACAAATACTTTAATTTATTCGTAAAGTGATAAATATATATTATAATATATTATTATTATTATACCTTTTTCTATTTTTGTTTTCCGTGAAAAATCCAAAAAGAAATATAATCTTATGTGGTACACAACGTTTGTATTATATATGATAACTGTTGTTTTTATTTACAAAAGTAAATAAAAACTAATAGGAATAATAAAACTTAATAGGAATAAGTACCAAAAACTTAATAGGAATAAGTACCAAAAGATTTTTCTGCAATATTAAAATAAAATATAAAATTCAATTAAGAATTTTATATAATTTATTTCTACAAGCTAAAAATTGAATTATGCGAAAAGTATAAATATTAATATAAATTTTAAAAATATTTAAAAAATATACTTACAAAATTGACTGTAGTGTTGTTGACTGTAGTTGATACATTGATACAGTGATACAGTGATGTTACTAGTACACGATGTTATCAATACATAACATCACGGTACACTGATCCTAACATTCGCACAGTGACAGCATTTTATATTGCCGCTTATTGCGTACTAACTCTACTGAAACATAAATATTTCCGTGATATTATATGCGATTATATGCAGACTGTTGCCGAAATAAGTTGTTTACATCGATTTGACTTGATCCTATGACATTCAAATTTTGCTTCGTAAGCATTGTCTAGCCGTGCGCGATAAAAACGATTCATATTTATACATACGCAGAATATTGCGGAAATAGATTTACCTTTATCGTTGTCCTCTATTAAATGCAAAAATGCGAGCAGAACGTGCTGCGTGAAGAATTGAGCGCAGCGTGGACACGGATGGTGTGCGTATAGAGACGTTTATAATTATTTTTCGAAAATGATACATGGTTGAATTTGTCTTAACATAATCTTTAATTTGGTAAAAAAAATTTGAAAAATTAAAAAAAATTAGTGGTGAGGATAAACAAAAAATTAACAATTAAAAAGTTATTTTAAATTATATTTATAAAATACTTTTTAAAGCTATTCAACTTTTGTTCAAAACATTTTATTCTATCTGTCGTAGTTTCGATGATATTCGCGTTAAAACATAAAAACCGATTTTTTTTTAAGGGTGTTTCACCTCTTAAAAAGTGCGTAAGAACACGAATATTTGATAGCTTAATTCTTGGTTTTGTCTAAAGAATAACATATTAAAAGCTCATCAAAATCGAAGTGGAACACTTCCGTTCCTTTCCTTGTGAGCCCTTTCTATTTAATGACACTAATCGACACAGATTATTTCTCTCTCTTCCTAAAGGCCAAAAAGAATAAAATAGTGTTTGTGTCCTCTTGTATTACTAAAGCATTCATTAAAATACTGCAGTTGTTTTACTTCTAAGAAACAGTATTCTAAACAGTTTTTTTTTGTATTTATTTACAATTTTATTTAAAAAATGTACTGTTTACGTTTAATTAATTATTTAATTTTTGTATACTTCTTGTAATACAATATAGATAAAACGTATTTTGACATCTTAATGGATTATACAAATCGTAAAGAAAGGTTAACAAGAGATAAGATTTGCAATAATGTACTAACGATGTTATTAACGGTATGTTTGCACAACGGTATAAATATAATAACACAGTTGACACTTAGGAGTTTATGCATTTTAGGCAATTTCGGAAGAGATTGTTGGATTCGTCTTTTGTTAAATCCGAAAGTCATAATTAAATAGTTCAATCCGGGAAATATAATTTTGGAGTATATTTGGACAAAAGAAAACAATGATTGATTTTAACATTTTGTCCAGTCTGCATGTCTGTGAATATTTTTTTGTTTATTTTAAATTATGTTTTGATGTTACTTAAGTTCTTCGTTCTTATCAAAACTTTGCCTCCAAGTTACTTTAAGCTATGTATACATTTTAACATTCTGTATCGAAATATCTCGAAAACTACAAAAGATGCGGAAAAATGTTTCAGACAAAAGTTGTAAAGGTTTGAAGGGGAACATAAAAATAATTTAAAAAAAATCAGTTTTTTAAAATCATAAATAATAATTCTTTTTTGTTGAAATAAATCCTAAAATTATATTTCCCGGATACAAACAAAGACTAATTTTATTGTGATTTTTTTATTCAGCAAGTAAAATTGAATAAAAAAATGATGAATTAAATAATCCTTGTGTGCTTCTCAAATCGTCTAAAATGCATAGGTAAATTTCATTGTGGACAAAACACTGTAAGAAAACTCTTTTAGTACGAGGAGAAATGGAATGATATAGAGTTAGTTCAATTTTTTTATTTATAAAATTTCAAAATTTGATTATAAAATAAATGAAGAATTGATTTATTTTTGTTCGCATTATCAAATTTTTTAAAAACTATTAGCTTGATAATATCACAAAATGCACTAAAAGAAATAAATGAAAAAAATGTTCAATTGCTAAAGCAAGGTTTGAAAGAAAATGGATAATTTTTCATTAATTTAATTCAATTTTAAATGAAACTTTATTTCAACTTAAAAATAAGAATTTTTAAAATAAATTGTTCTAAAGCAACTTTACTCATACTTTGATTGCTATATCAAGTGAACATTTTTCTTTTTTTTTTAACGCGGTTTGGTGATGTAATCAAATTAATAATCTCAAAAAATTCGGTAATGCGAATGAAAGTAAATCAATTTTTTATTTATTTTATACTCAAACTTTGAAGCTTTATAAATAAAAATTTCGAACTAATCTCACACAAATCCTTTGGCATATCATTTCTCCTCACCTAATACTAATAGAATTTTCTTACAATATTTTGTCCAAAATGAATTTTTTTCAAAATTGTTCTAGTATTATTATAAATAAATATTTAAATAAATGTTCATGTATGTAGGCCAGTGAATCAATCGCTACTACAATGAATTTTGTTATCTTCATGTTAGCAAATTATCCAGAAATACAAGTAAGTATATACAGTGTATACATATATTTATATATTCCAAGTAAATTGAATGTATTAGTTAATTAAACAAAGTGTTGTAAACAACATAATTTAAAAATGTAAAAAATTGCAAAAGGTACACATTGTATTGTAATACTTAAAAAATATGCGTTTTACATTGTGATAATTTTTAGCATTGCTTGATTTTTAACGAAACATTATATTAATACTGTTTATTGTTAACATATCTTACATTTGATTTACATATAAATATATTTCAAAACGTTTAAGTTTATAGTACGTTGATTAACATCAAACTATATACATTTTGCATATTTCTTAAACTCATTTTACAATGTGCGTAACATTTTATTTAAGGTAAAAATTTTAATAAAATTGTGCAAATATTTAGATTAGGACTGTTACACTCGTTTATGACCAGCAATAGAAATAAAATCGAAGGAACACACATTGATCGGAAAAGTAGTCACTATTAAAAAAAAGAAATAACATATATGAAAGTATACTTTATGAGGTATTGATCAAAAGTCTCAACCTTCTAAAATCGCTAGTTTTTACACTGTCAGCACCATAAAGACTGCTTGAAATTACTTTATTTTAGAAAATCATTACTTATTGAGATGTGCATCAAATATAGGAATCTTCAATATAGGCATCTTTAATATGATAGAGAGAGAGAGAGAGAGAGAGAGAGAGAGAGAGAGAGGAGAGAGAGAAAGCATACTTTTATGATTTTGTAAAATAAAGTGATTTTAAGCAGTCTTTATGAGCTGACAATGTAAAAATTAGCGGTTTTAGAAGGTTGATGCCATTGAGACTTTTGATCAGTACTTTATAAAGTATACTTACGCACATGTTACTTCTATTTTAACGGTGGCAACTTTTCCATATGATTAGTGCGTGATTCTTTCAATCGCTATTATTAAAAAATCTATATTTTATGTTGCAAATATTCTTTTTAGCTCTAACGACTTATGCATTAATATCTATTGACTTTTTTTAATTTGCGTGAATAATATGTGTATCAACCTTTGTTTTTACCGTTGAATATTATGTACAAAATTTTTAGTTTTAACTTGTTTAAATAGTGTATAATCACTAAAGATGACCATATTAAAGATTGAAACATTTGAGTTTGTTTTCATGTTTTATTCATTACACATCTATTAGTTTATATAACTGACAAGGACATCCAGTCAGGCTCGTTATCTCTTGTACTTTTTTTTATTGAATTTAAAAAATCTGTAATATATTATTTTGCATACATTTATATAAAATATTTCATTTAAAAAGGAAAAAGCACATAAAGAATTGTTGGAAATTTATGGCACAGAAACTGTAAACTCTGCACCAGTTAAATACAACGATTTACAAAATATGCATTATTTGGACCGAGTTATCAAGGAAACTCTAAGAATTTTCCCTCCTGCCCCATTAATTGCACGAAAAGTAATGGAAGAT